AGCCACTTTAGCAAGTATTAAACACTTTCCGTATAATTCCGGAAGCACTAAGAGAAACTTCAGCAAAATTGCTTTAATCCGAAGCGATTGTCGTGATTCTGGGATCCGCAAGCGCGGTTGTGGCGTACAAATCCCTGATTTTTCGGTACGATTGCTTGGCCATATTTTTATAAACTTTGGCCTGTAGCAATTGTTCATTCATTTGGCCTCAGTTCGGAGTGCCGACTATCTTATAAATTGACTTGCATCGCTTGTTGTGTGTTGTTAAGGTCACCGATCAACGAATATATGCACTACGGAGAGCAACGCTTTCGTAAAGCAACGTTTATACATTACAATTCAGTGAGCAGTGAATATCGTATTTCGCATCAGTCTAAACGATGAACTGCTTTTGTTACGTTTGTATAGTAATCTTTATTCTGTCCATAAACTGCTTCGATCCACTATCGGCTCGAAACGAATGTATGAAAGTGATCGGTACTTTGTTGTGTCCATCGAATCCAACTCTTGCTAACAACGTTCGTATCGATCTCAAGGATGAAGACTGTAAGTTACTGTCAACTTTCAATAATGATTGATTTGATGTGAAACATTACCAATGATGATATGATGAACTGATTGCTGTTTCAACGTGAACATTTTTCTGATCATTCGTGAGAATGTAAACGTAAGAAATCAATCGGTACAATTAATACAAATTATACGCGGGAACCGCGTGTTGCGGGTGTTCGGATCCCTGTCCTCGACTTTTTTTGAGCCGACTGCATTTTCGGGATCCTCGATTGCAAAATTTCATCTCCGATTTTCCCCGTTCCCGAATTTCTCATCGTCCCCGCAACACGCTACGATATAATACCACAAATTGCATTTACCTAGGAGTGAACATGCGAACATTGTAAGCATGAAAATAAGAACGATTAATCACATGCAACAGTGATAATATTATAGTAGCATTCTAAACAACTGTTCATTGGAGCATTTTGAAAACATAAAATGAATGTTGAATGGTATTTCATCATCAGTGGGCAACATTTTGGTTTGATTCATCGCATTTGCTCGAAGAGTGAAATATGAGTAAATGAATTAGTTCGGAGTGATGAAATGTGCTGACAATAAACGTTATTTATTGCAAACAATTGAATTTGTTTTTATCGGCGGCTCAAAGTTCTTAATCAATGGCAATGTATCCAATAGCAAATCATGGATTTATTTCGTCTTTTCATGACTTCTCGATTGAATTCTTTAAAGGCCTTTCTAATTTTGTAAGTCTTTTCACTCTTGATGGCGATTGTTATGGAAGCAAAAATGGAACCAACATCGGAACGTATGTGAACTGACGTTGTCAGTAGATTACAGTTTCATTCCGTTGATGTGAATTTTTATGCGGAATTTCATAGGTTGCAGAAAATTACAAAACTTTCTCACTTGCAGCGCTACCGTTTGAAGTTGACGATATAATGGGTCGTACTTGGTCACAAGGAAATGGTTCGTTCGTACTGTCGGGTTGTGGCGCAGATATGGGTCCGTTCAATAAGCCTGACCCATACGTTTACATCGAACACAAATGTCCGAGTACTGTATATCCGTACATTGTTAATGCTACACGTAAGATGCAATTCGCTTTGGTACCCACTTTCTTGCCGATGGTATTGCGTATCGGCAAAGTATACCTCGACGATTCTGATGTATAAATAAATCTTTCGCAATTGGCACATTAATCGCATTCTGTTGCCTTCATTCAATTCATTCATTCACCACAACACCAAATTTGCTGATTCAATTCGAGCTTCAATGCGTTCCGCAGTGTTTGATTGTGGATATATGGCCTAGTTGACTCTGCAGAATAACATTTCATTTAAAACTGTCAAGAGTGCGAAATCAGGCAAGTGGATCTGAGTGTAGAACTCGTAATGCTATTTGATATGGTGGCAAGTTTCTTTACTGCAAATTCAATCAGTTACTGGAAGGAGCCCCATTTTTGTAATGGTGTTGAGAAAGGCTATTTTAAATCGTTCGAAATTTTGTGAATAGACTAGAAGGTTTAATTACAACTTGAGTTTAAGTGTATCCTACTGAACTACTCTTTACTGGTTCAACACTGTCATTCCCGTCTACATTAGATGAAATCA